AAAAGCTCCTGGAGTGGGAAAGGACCCGAGGGGGTTACCCCCCAAAAAAGACTTTTAAGGCTATTGACCAGCAAAACATCTCAAGCTTTTTGGTCCCAGAACCCCTTTACAATCTTTTTTTTGTTTTTTTTGAGTTGGAGTCTCACTCTGTTGCCGAGACTGGAGTGCAGTGGCACGCTCCCGGCCACCGCAGCCTTGACCTGCTGGGCTCCAGCGATCCTTCTGCTTCAGTCTTCCAAGTAAGTGGAACCACAGGTGCGCGCTACCACACCCAGTTAGCTTTTGATTTATTGTAGAGATGAGGTCTCGCCAAGGTGCCCAGGAGGGTCTCGAACCTGCAGACTCAGGCAGTTCACTCACCTCGACCTCAAGGCGCAAGATTACAGGCTGAGCCACTGAACCCGGCAAAACAGAACTTTTTAAATTACAGGAATACACAAGCACATATACCAGTAGCCAGCAGATTGATCTCATCACACATCTTGTATCCTCTGGAAAACTCAAATGTACTCTCATGAGAGAACCACAGTGGAAAAAGACAAACACATTTTATGTTTTTAACAGTATCATGGACGTTGTTTTGAATTTGCAGACCCCCTGAATATGTCTATAGGATATCTTTGTCTAAATGTTTCTACCAAATTTCTTTTCTTTTCTTTGAGTTGGAGTCTCACTCTGTCGCCCAGGCTGGAGTGCAGTGGCATGCTCACAGTCACCACAGCCTCAACTTGCTGGGCTCAGGTGATCCTTTCGCCTCAGTCTTCCAAGTAGCTGGAACTACAGGCATGCACTACCATACCGGGCTTATTTTTTGATTTATTGTAGAGATGAAGTCTTACTAAGTTGGCCGGGCTGGTCTTGAACCCCTGAGATCAGGCAATCCTCTCACCTTGGCCTCCCAAAGTGCTTAGATTACAGACTTAAGCCACTGCGCCCGGCCCAAATTTCTAATTTACCCTTTTCAAAACAAACTCATCATCTTCCTCCCCAAATCAATAGATTCTCACAGGGTCCCTGTTTTGGTTACTAACATGTTGAAGTTAAAATAAAAATGTAAAGATGAATCTCTAAATTTAATATTTTATTTGAGAAGAAAGAATTTCAATTTGGGGTATTGATGGCGACTAAGTGGTCTTCAGTATATCTGAAAGAACAAAGAGAAGGTTGGAGGTTTTATAAAAAAGAGAAATGTTATGTATTGCTCTTTGGGAAAGTTCATTGGCATTAGTAAGGCTCTAGGGAGCTGGCAAGTTTTGATTGGTGAGTGATGGCAGAGGGTAATTAGCACATAGTTTTCAGCAACTGTTAGATAAAACTGGTTTGGGGTTACATCAGGCAGTTTCAGCAGCCATGTTTGCAGATAATTATATTTTTTGGAGCAATGTTATATGTCCTGAGTGCTTTCTCTCCCTGATTTCTCGACTCTGTTTTAGTTGAGTATGACAAAAATGATCCAATTCACATATCCACTTTCATAGACACTACCCTACTTCAGTGACCTATGGTTCAAACTAAGGATTTTGTTTGAGCTCTGTCTCTTTCATTATCAGAGTCAATGCCATCAAATCTCAACCACCTTTCTTTTCTAAGTGGACAGGATCTGAAAAAAAAAATTGTTTTTGAGTCAGGATCCCACTCTGTCACCCAGGCTGGAGTGTAGTGGCATGATCACAGCTCACTGCAACCTCAACCTCCTGGGCTTAGGTGATCCTTCCACCTCAGCCTCCCAAGTAGTGGGGACTACAGGTGCATGCCACTACACCCAGCTAATTTTGTAATTTTTCTGTAGAGATGAGGTCTCGCTATGCTGCCCAGGCTGGACTCCTGGGTCAAGCAATCCTTCTGCCTCATTCTCTCAAAGTGCTTGGATTACAGGTGTGAGCCACTGTACCTGGCTGGCCTGAATTATTATTTTGGAGGTAGCCCAGGAGTTCAAGTCTGTGGTGAGCCATGATTGTGCCACTGCACTCCAGTCTGGGTAACAGAGTGTGACCTCTACTCAAAAAACAAAGAAAAGTAAACCTCCTCTTCTGCTCTACCAGAGCCACCTCGTTCCTCATCTAGGAGGTAACTGCTTCTTGAATGTCAGCTCTCAGAGTCTCTGATTTCATGTCATGCCTTAAGTTTTGTTTTTGTTTTTGTTTTTGTTTTGTTTTGAGTTGGAGTCTCACTCTGTTGTCCAGGCTAGAGTGCAGTGGCACGCTCATGGCCACCGCAGCCTCAACCTACTGGGTTCAAGTGATCCTTCTGCCTCATCCTTCTAAGTAGCTAGAAACACAGGCATGTGCCACCATACCCAGCTAATTTTTTAGTTTTTATTGTAGAGACGAGGTCTTGCCATATTGCTCAGATCATATTGCTCGCCATATTGGTCTTGAACTCCTGAGTTCAGGCAGTCCTCTAGCCTCTACCTCCCAAAGTACTGGGATTATAGGTGTGAGCCACCGTGTCCAGCCAAGGCCTTAAGTTTTCTGACTGTCAAACTCCAGGTTCACCTTGAACCTAGAGCCTCTCTGACTTCTTCCTCCCAATACAGAGTCTGTTACTCATTCCTGTGGATAAACTCTACATAAACCACTACAAAACTACCAAACTTATTGCTTTGACCTTAAATGTATTTGTTTTTCATACTATGAGTGTCTAGAATAGTGCCTTTTGTCTTTGTAAGCCTGAGCTCTGCCTAGTTCAGTGTTTGATGCAGTGTGGGTATTTAGTGAGTTTCTGATGACTGAATACATTTCCCCTGATGGAGGATTTTTGAAGATTTCCTAGTGCCTGTAGGAACATAGTTGCAGCTCTTCATATGGGCTTTCTAATTCTTTCTATTAGGCCTCACTTCCCCTACCCAAACTGATTTCCTGGGAAGTTTGCCTGTAGCCAAGACAGTCTCCTCATTAGTGCCTGTCTGCCAAACTCTGTTCTACTGCCAGGCCTTTGCTTATGCTGTTGACCAGCAGTTGAAATTCTGAAATCAAAGATTATATGATGCCAAGTGCTATTTCCTAGGAACAAGAGAGTTATCCAATCTATATGTATTTATTCGCTATATAAATGCTTAATATGTCTCACAAGAAGTCTGGTTTGGAAAGTTGCATGAAATCAGTCCCATCGCAGTGCTGCTTGAAATAGCAAAAGACATGCGGGCACAAGGCAGTCTCTACAGAGAGCACAGAGCAGCGGCTATAGTCACTTATGTTCCAGATCAAGGATGTCACACTGAAGCTAGACCCAGAGGAAATGAAATGGAAGATGTGCAAGAATGTGATCTCCTCCAAATGGAACTTCCTTATCTATGTGGTACTACTGCGAGACACTCCTTTTATCTTAAAGAAATTAGACAGCATATGAAGATTGGGCATCACATGTGAATGCATGATATGAAGAACCTAGTTACAGTTTCTACTCCTGTCTGCAAGTGAATAGATCTAGAAAAGTGTAAGAGATTCTTTGAGTCGGCATAAACATTCTGCTTGTTAAGAATAAGTTTGTCTCTGATAATTGACCTTCATAGCTAAAATATAAAACTATTTGGAGAGTATGAAAAAATGTCTTGTGGTCATGGTGTGCACTTAATTCCTGTTGATATTTGGCCTCTGTGAATGTTGGTATAATTGTAAATGATGTCAAATTCCATTTTTAGCAAGTATTAATTACAAGGGAAATGGCAAAAAAAATACACTGGAAGTACCCTAAAAGTTTATCAATATAGGAATGGTTAAACATTATGGTATCTTTACTCAGTGGTATACGATACAGCTGTTAGATGAGCTAGGTCAATCTGGATAAATTTTAAATGGAATTGTATAGTATTCCTGACTTTCTACAGTGTTGTGTTTATGAAATTCCTCTAGGTTGTTGCTTGTGGTGAGAGTGCTCTCCTTCTTGTTGTTATAAGTTGCCCCTATACAAATAACATTGCAATCTATATACCCGTTTATTTATTCATTCTATTATTGATGACCATTTGAACTGTTTTCCATTTTTAGTTGTTATGGTTGTTTGGCTATTATAAATATTCTTGTGCATACCTTTTATACATATAAACATATATCACAATCTGCCTAAAGTGGAGGCTATGCATTGCATATATTTTCAGTTTTACTTGATATCATTAAATGGTTTTGCAAAGTGGTTGTAATGTTTTACATTCTTGCTAACAGTGAATAAGAGTTTGAGTTGCTCACATCCTCAGAAAAGCTTGGAGGTGTCAATATTTTAAATTTTAGCCATTTTGGTAGGTGAGTAGTGAGATCTCATTATAATTTTGATTTGCAATTCCCTGATGACTTGAAGTTGAACAACTTTTCATTCATAAGGACCATATGAATTTTCTCTATCAGTAATGTGCCTGTTCAAACATCTTGCCCATTTTTGTTTTGTTTTGGTTTTGAGATAGGGTTTCATTTTGTCACCCAGGCTGAAGTGTAGTGGCATAAGCATGGCTCACTGCAGCTTCAAATTCCAGGGCTCAAGCAATTCTTCTGCCTCAGTTTCCCGAGTAGCTGGGACTACAGGATGTACCACCATGCCTGGCTAATTTTTGTATTTTTTGTAGAGACAGAGTCTCTATTTGTTGCCCAGGCTAGTTTGAACTCCTGGGCTAAGTAATCCTCTCGTCTTTGCCCACATCTTGCCCTTTTTTTTCTTTTTCTTTTTTTTGAGTTGGAGTCTCACTCTGTCACCCAGGCTGGAGTGCAGTGGCATAATCACAGCTCACTGCAGCTTTAACCTCCTGGGTTCAGGTGATCCTTCTGCCTCAGCATCCTAAGTAGCTGGGACTACAGGTGCACGCCACCATACCCAGCTAAGTTTTAAAAATTTTTTGTAGAGACAAGGTCTTTCTATGTTGCCAGGCTGGTCTCAAACTCCTGGGCTCAAGCAATCCTCCTGCCTTGACTTCCTTAAGTGCTGGGGTTACAGGCGTAAGCCATTGCACCCAGCCTTGCCTATTTTTTATTGGGTTGTCTCTTTTTCTTTTTTCTTTTCTTTTTTTTTTCTTTGAGTCAGAGTCTCACTCCATTGCCCAGGCTGAAGTACAGTAGCATGCTCACAGCCACTCCAGTGTTGATCTGCTGGGCTCCAGTGATCCTTCCGCCTCAGCCTTCCAAGTAGCCACAACTACAAGCACATGCTACCATGCCTGGCTAATGTTTGATTTATTGTAGAGACGAGGTCTCGTCAAGATGCCCGGGCTGGTCTCGAACCCGTGGGCTCAGGCAGTCCACTCATCTCAGCCTCCCAAAGTGCTGAGATTACAGGCTGAGTCACTGAGCCCAGCATGTCGTTTTCTTAATGATTTATAGTAATCCTAATATATTTTATTTTTTAAAGTAGTTGTAGGTTTATAGAAAATTGACCAGACAAAACAGAGAATTCCTATACACTCCCTTTCTACTCCCTCCCTGTAATTTTCCCTAGTATTAATATCTTGCATTATGTGGTAAATTTGTTATAATTGAGTCTTTGTCACCCAGACTGGAGTACAGTGGCCGCTCCCAGCCACCGCAGCCTCGACCTGCTGGGCTCCGGCGATCCTTCCACCTCAGCCTTCCGAGTAGCTGAAACTACAGGTGTGTGCTACCAAACCTGGCTAATTTTTGATTTATTGTAGAGATGAGGTCTCGCCAAGTTGCCCAGGCAGGTCTCGAACCCGCGGGTTCAGTTATTCCACTCACCTCAGCCTCCCAAAGCGCGGGATTACAGGCTGAGCCACCGAGCCCAGCTTGAGTCACTATTGACACATTATTATTAACTAAAGTTCATAGTTTACATTAGGGTTCACTGCTTGTGTTACACAGCAATAAGGTTTTGAAAAAGGCATAATGTCACATATCTCATTATATTGGCATGTAGTTTCACTGCCTTAAAAATCCTCTGTTTCTCTCTTCTTTTCTCTTCTTCTCAAACCTTGAGCAACTACTGATCTATTTACTGTCTCTGTAGTTTTGCTTTTCCCAGAGAGTCATATAGTTGGGATTATACAATATATACCCTTTGCGGATTGGTTTCTTTCACAAATTAATATGCATTTAAGTTTCTTCCAAATATTTTTGTGACTTGATAGCTCATTTATTTTGTTGTTAAATAATATTCCATTGTATGGATGTACCACAGTTTATCTATCGCTTTGAAGGATGTCTTGGTTGCTTTCTGTTCTTGGCAATTATGAATAAAGTTAAAAAAGAAATCATGTGTAGGTTTTTGTGTGAGCATAAGTTTTTAGTTCACTAAGACAAATATCTGGGAGTACGATTGTAGGATTATATGGTAAGACTATGTTTAGCTTAGTCTGCCAAATTGTCTCCCAAAGTGGCTGTGCCATTTTGTATCCTCACCAGTGATGAATGAGAGTTGTAGTTCCATATCCTTGTCAGCATTTGATATTGTTAGTTTTTTGAATTTTAGCCTTTCTAATAGGTATGTAATAGTATCTCATACACACACACACACACACACACACACACACACACACACACACACGGTGCCAAAAAAAGCATACACAACTTAAGAAAGGAAAAAAGTATTAAAATTGTAATATTCAATATATACTGATAGCAAAATAGGAATACAAGTCACATTTGACTTCTGCAATTACAAGAGGTGTTCAAAGTGGCTACCATCAGCATCTAGACACTTCTGATTATGGCAAACTAAAAGTAATACATAGAAAACATCTCTTAAAATGTGTATACATATTTTTGGCACCCGTGTGTGTGTGTGCACATTTTTTTTTTTTTTTTTGAGTCAGAGTTTCACTCTTTCACCCAGACTGGAGTGCAATGGCATGATCACAGCTCATTACAGCCTTGACCTCCTGGGCTCAGGCAATCCTGTTTCAGTCTTTTGAGTAGCTGGTACATATACCATATGTCTGGCTAATTTTTTGGATTTTTTGTAGAGACAAGTTCTCACTATGTTACCTAGGCTGGTCTTGAACTCCCAGACTCAAGCAATCCTCCCACTTTGGCCTCTCAAAGTGCTGGGATTATACATGTAAGCCACCATGCCCAGTCAGTATATCATTTTAATTTGCAATTCCCTAATTACATATGATGTTAAGCATCTTTTCATATGCTTATTTGCCACTTGTATATTTTATTTTTATTTTATTTTTTTGAGTTGGAGTCTCACTCTGTCACCCAGGCTATAGTTCAGAGGCACGCTCATGGCCACCGCAGCCTTGAACTGCTGGGCTCAGGCGATCCTTCCACTTCAGTCTTCCATGTAGCTGGAACTACAGGCATGCACCACCACACCCAACATGATTTTTTTATTTATTGTAGAGACAAGGTCTCACCATGTTGCCCAGGCTGGTCTCAAACCCCTGAGCTCAGGCAATCCTCTCAACTCTGCCTCCCAAAGTGCTGGGATTACAGGTGTGAGCCACCGTGCCAGGCTTATATATTTTCTTTGATGAGGTGTCTTCAGATCTCTTTGTCCTTTTTTGTTCTTTTATTTTCAGTTGGAGTCTCATTGTCACTCAGGCTGGAATGCAGTGGTACACTCACGGCCACTGCAGCCTCAACCTGCTGGGCTTAGGTGATCCTTCCACCTCAGCCTTCCAAATAACTGGAACTACGGGCATGCGCCACCATGCCTGGCTAATTTTTTGATTTATTGTAGAGACGAGGTCTTGCCAGTTTACCCAGGCTGGTCTCTAACCCATGGGCTCAGGCAATCCTCTCACCTTGTCCTCCCAAAGTGCCTTTGTCCCATTTTTTAATTGGGTTGTTTGTTTTCTTATTGTTTAGTTTTAAGGGTTCTTTGTATATTTTGGATACAAGTCCTTTACTCGATATGTATTTTGCAAATACTTTCTCCCCAGTCTGTGGCTTGTCTTTTCATTCTTTTAACAACATCTTTTGCAAAGCAGTTTTAAATTTTAAGTCCAACTTATCGATTTTTTTCTTTCAAAAGTTTAAAAACTCATCATTAAATACAAAATCACTTAATTTTCTCCTATTAGAAGTGTTATGTTTTTGCATTTGGCATTTAGGTCTATAATTCATTTTGAGTTAGTTTTTGTGAAAGGTAGAAGGTCAATGTCCAGATGCCTTAGTCTGTTCGGGTTACTATAAAACACATAGACTCTGTAGCTTAAGAACAACAAAAGAAATTTATGACTTGCAGTTTGGAAGCTGGGAAGTCCAAGATCAAGACACTGGCAGGTCTTGGGTCTGTTACAGTCCTGCTTCCTGGTATATAGACAGCTGTCTTTTTTCTTTGTCCTCACATGACAGAAGAAATTGAATGAATTCTTTGAGGTCTCTTTCATAAGGGCATTAATATCATTCATGAGGGCTCTACTCTCATGGCCTAATCACCTCTTGAAGACCCCACATTCTAATACCCCCACCTTGGGGGTTAGGATTTACATATATATTATATATGTACATATATATTTATATTTATTTATTTGAGTTGGAGTCTCATTCTGTCACCCAGGCTGGAAGGCAGTGGCATGCTCATGGCCACTGCAACCTCCATCTGCTGGGTTCAGGTGATCCTTCCGCCTCAGCCTTCCAAACGGCTGGAACCACAGGCAAGCACCACCACACTCAGCTAAATTTTTTATTTATTGTAGAGACAAGGTCTTGCTATGTTGCCCAGGCTGGGCTCGAACCTCTGGGCTCAGACAATCCTC